TGTGTGTGTGTGTGTGTGTGTGTGAGAGAGAGAGAGAGAGAGAGAGGCTTATCAGGAATTTAAAGTACTAAGTAGATTTGATTACCTATTGGATTTAAACATCTCAATTTTGTTGCTTGATTGTAAGCACTGGAGACTTGGGGGCTATAGATAATTTGATTTGATCAATGAAGAGTAGATAACAGAATTGGGAATCCAGAAATCTAGTCACTCTAAAAGTAAAATGGCTTTTTCCTAAATCTTCAGCTGAGGCCTTTGATTTTCTCCTAATCTGTCACTCCTTTTAAGATGGGATGATTTGTGGTGGCCCCTTGGAGACTTCTGTCTGCTTCTTTAGCTGTAAGAATGGGTTGGTGCCACAAATGGGCATGGTGCCTGATACTCAAGTTTGGACTTCTGGAGTCTGCATTTCTTTTTGTTACAGGCTTAGGATGGGACTTTTGCCCTTAACTTTCAAAATGTGTAGTGGGTTCCTTTGAACTGGATGCCTGCAATATGCTGTCTGTGACCTTAGACTTTGCCTATGATTCTTACCCTTTGGGAATTAAAGCCATGCTGAAATGGTCAGCTTGCCAAGGAGAAAAGATATAAAGAAATTTCCTGAGAAAAACCGAGTGTGTTGGTATACACAAGGCTGTGATGGGAAGATCATGAGTTTGAAGCCAGCCTAGGCAATAAACACAGCAAGATTATATCTTAGTAATTTAAAATTGAAGAAAGGGGTGGAAGTAATTGGAGTAGAGATTGAAGACACTAAAGACACTCATGAGCATGTTTCAAAACACAGTATTACCCATTAAAATCAGCCAGTTAGAAAGTGCCAGAATCTAATCAGGCAAACACTAACCTATCTGACCAGATATACACACCTGATTTTTGCCTTAGCAAGGTGATTTTTAGAATGGTATCAGGAATGTTTACAGTTTCAGAAACAGAATTTTTTTTTTTTTTTGAGGAATAGGTCACATATTTTCAGAATCATATAGAGCCCTTGGGGAGGTTTATTATTGTATACTTGTGGTCTCTTTCTTCAGTACAGGGGCATATGATGGCCCTTTCCCATACATGCTATCTACTTTGGTTCTTGGTGCTGTATTCTAATTAAGTTGGAAGCGTCCAGCCAGTGTTAATTTTTTTTTATGATTGTCAAGTTCAAGTATATAAGGATCCAAGTCCCTTGGAGAGTAGGAAAAATCTCTCTACACATTCTCAACTGGGCTTGGCTCATAGCAGATACTGGTGAACAGTAAGGGTGGATTTATTGTGGGTGAGTGAAAGAAAGCATGTGCCCAGAAATGTTTGGTTTTACTTCTGTGAGTTTTTGTACTGCTTTTCAAATTCAAGGCCTTTAAGACCATTGTTTCAGGGCCAGTGAGATGGTCCAGCTGCTAAAGCACTTTTCCACCAAGCTTATAATGTCCTGAGTTACGGAAAAAAAAAAAAAAATCAGAATAGTAGTTGCTACTTGAATTCACTTAGTGTGTTGCTTTCTGAGAATATAATTCTGTTTGTTTTTCTGAGTTCAGATGACATAGAAGGAGTCTTGTTAGGATCAGGAATGCCCTTTATACTCCTGTAGCTACTGCCTTAACTTCTCCTGAACTCAGGGTTGAGCCTCATTCCTGGGTTTAGTAGAGGATTTGTGGTTCAGGTTACTCTCACACTAAATACCTGGTACAAAGGTTGCAGCTAGAATGGGTTCACTTTCAGAAAGATAAGAAAGCTCAGGTGCACATAGCAAGCTCCCCTTCCCTGCCCCTTTGGTAGATAGGCATTATTGACATCAGTTGGAGTTAATTGTGTTGCATGTGGATTTGTTTGCAATCTAGACTTTTAGAGCTAAAAGAAATTAAGTGATCTAGTGACCCTGGAAGCAAAAAGATTGAAGTCCATGGAAGAATATATAGAGTGAGCTTAGTGGCATGGTAGTTACCAGCTGAGGCTGGTAGTGATTTCTTAGATAGAACTTAACCAGTGTGTGTTCCTAGGGATGAAACCTATGGCCTAGAACATTTAGTGAAACTAATTTCCACTGAGCTATATCCCCAGCTAGCTTAGTTGTGATTTCTTGAATGGAACTTTGTCTCCCTGTTCTTCCCAGTCTAAATATCAAGCAGAATGTGATGCCAGACATATAGAGCAAGCAATATTCTAGCTCTGTGAAAAAGAGATGGGTAACTTGAGCACCCTGTTTCTTTATTCATCCTCAAGGGGACTGGGTACTTATTTGGGCACTATTTTGGGGACTCCCACGTATACTCAAGGAGGTTTGAGCTAATTGGACATGAGGAAACTGGCCCAGCACTGTGTGTGGCTGGCCCATGGAGGCAGAGGTGGGAGTTCCCACTTCCTGACTTTGTCTTAATCTACCTGATTGTTGGTATTATTTCACCTTAGTTCTAAAAGGAGAAAAAAAAAGCCAACTCTATTGGGGAAAATATACAGCGTGTGTAATAATAGTTGATACAGTCTCTGCTGTTGTGAATTTGCATTCAGTCACTCCCTCCCTCAACCTTCACCTTCCTTTCCTGATCATTTTTATGTATGCAGAGCCCACATATTTTTTCCATTGTGTTCTTACTCGGCATTTTGAGCTAGTTGAAACTTGGTTAAAATCTGATGAAGATCCTGAGAGAAACAAAGCACTTAGTGACCAATTTAAAGATTAGCTGAAGAAGCCCCCAGAGTCATCAAGTCAGGGCCTTTGCTGTCTAAGACTGGCTTGTGCTGGACAGGGTCTTGCCCAGTGGTGATGGTCTCTTCTGGGCTGGTAATTAGGACACCCCAGAATTATTTAAGTCACTTTGTTAGCTTTCTGTCTGTATTGTTAACTTTTTTTTCCCCTCCCCCAAGACGGTTTCTCTGTGGCTTTGGAGGCTGTCCTGGAACTAGCTCTTGTAGACCAGGCTGGTCTAGAACTCATTGATCCACCTGCCTCTGCCTCCCAAGTGCTAGGATTAAAGGCATGCACCACTCCTGCCTGGCACATTAACTTTTTAAATGAAACTTTTTACAATTCTACCAATGAACTCTGATAATGAGGCTTTTATTTATAACTGGAGGAAGGGGTCATAGGAGATAATACCTTGGCATCAATGGGTCAGGCAAGCATTTCTGAAGTCTGATTGCTTTGTTTTGTTTTGTTTTGTTTTTTGGTATGATTGTGTCATGACAGCTGATTGTTCCTGTTTTTTGTTTCAGATGGGAATGACTGGTAACACAAGTCCATTTGGACAACCCTTTAGTCAAACTGGAGGGCAGCAGATGGGAGCCACTGGAGTGAATCCCCAGTTATCCAGCAAACAGAGCATGGTCAATAGTTTGCCTGCTTTTCCTACAGATATCAAGAATACATCAGTCACCAGTGTGCCAAATATGGTAAGTTGCCCTTGGTTTTCTTTGCTTCGGGTCTTGGTGGATGATTGTATATGACTTTTATGGTGCTGAGAGTGTGCCATTGGTGATAGGAATGTAACCCACATAGCCAAAAAGCACAATGAGTTTTACATTTTCTTTGATGAGCTAGCAACAAGAGGGATAGGGAAGGTTGATTGAGCAGCTCTTCCCAGATTTCCTTTGTTGATGGAATCATGTATGTGAACTATTTTACCTTTACAAAATTCTGAGTATCATTAAGACTGGCTTACCTTGCTGTTTATTAATGGGTCGAAGCTGCCTTAGAAGCTTGATTTGTGTTACAGTCAAACAAAAGACATTTGTATTACAAGAATTATGAAGCAGGTGTTAGGTCTGACTTGATAGATGAATTTGCCTCTTGCTTCTCACTAAGAGTTCCTAGTTACAACAGGAATTGTCTGTGGCTAGTGCCTCTGGTCCCCAGTGGTACATCTCAGCTGCTGAAGGCATAGTGTGCAGGTGGTGACTGGTCACCCTTCAGCAATCACTTCTCTTCTTCCTTGTGTTTGTTGGTGACAGCGAACCTTCCATATTTCCATATACTTCTACAGTAATGATTTGACAAATCTCAGCAAAAAAAAAAAAAAAAACTAACCATGTCTTTTTTTTTTTTTTTTTTTTTAGAAAGTTGGCTTTTGGCCTTGAAAAACTAATTTTGAAATATAAGTACAAGGAATTCCTGAGTGTTTATCTTTCTCTCCGTGTCAGATCTTCTCTAACCTTAGTATTTCTCAGAACTAAGAGAATTACAGTATTTACAGTGTGCCATGTTCTGAGGCTCTTGGGAACCAAGTGTTGAGGCCTTTTCTTCATTTAGTGTAGATTCAGAAAGTGTTAAGAGGTGATCACTGTTAACATTGTGCTAACACTTTTTTTTTTTTTTTTCAGTAGACCTGCCTGTTTTCAAAACCACTGATCACTTTCTGTTCTTTGTTCTATGACAATCCCCTTAGCTCTCCTACTTTCCTTTCAGTAGCTTTTGGTCGCCAGTGTTATGTCCAGGGTTATGGGAGCAATGTTATTAGCCTCTGGGTTCTGGGACCCACACCCATACTGCCTGGCCTCTCTGGTGGTTTGTTCTTAGTCCTCCCTGAGAAGACAGTGGCATAAAGTCCAGGCCCAGCTGTCATTGCCTGTGCCTGTTTGGTAACCAGGCACACATTTAGGCTTCCTCCGTGAGAACATTTGCTTTTTCCATGGTGTTCTGTTTTATACACAGGGAATCCTTTACCCAATGGCTTCCTATCTTTCCTCTTTCAATTTTTCTCTGGCTTCACTACTACAGAGTGACAGAACCTGGTGCTACAGGTTCCTCTGCCAGCTTTGGCTGCTACTTTGGAGACCTAAACTTGCTATAGTGGTCAAGGGTTTCACAGAAGGGCTGGGCAAACGACCTTACCTTCCCCTGCAGGACTGCAGCAGGGCTCCTTTCAGCCTCTGCAGTGACCAGTGTTCTACTACAGGACCACCTAGAACCTTGGTAATATGGTCATGTTTGGCAGTAACCCTGGCCACTACCCATGGCCCTTCCTTTGTCCTGGATGTTACAATCCAATATCTCCAAGCACTGACAAAATGTGTTCCTTAGGGTACCTCTGTCCATGTTGGAAACTCCTGCTTTGAAGAATGGTCAAGAGGAGTCGTAGCTGTATGTCTTGTCTCATTCATTTATTTTCTAGAATCTTAGAGGAATTCGGTCAACACTGTTCCCTTGACCCCCCTCAAAAATCACAGTAAACTAAGGAAGCATTTTTGTTTATAAAAGCTGTAGTCAGGGCACCTTTCCTATAAAGGCACATGTGAACTTTTGAGAAAGATTCATAGATGTCCTTTGGAAAGTAAATTGGGTCCTTGGCCTGTACTGTTTTTTTGGAGGCACATGGTGGACCAGGCCATGTCAGGCCATGTGTCATTGAGCATCTGGGAACAGCCTTCAGTGGAACATTGGAGGTGGGACTAGTAAAGAGGTCAAGGCACAGGCTACATGGCATCTTTTTCAGTGTGAAAATGAACTCATTCCTGCAGTGGTTTCTTGAGAGGTATCATTAACAGTTCCCATTTGATGGAAAGGAAATAGAGGTTCTGAGGGAACCTGACTTGTTCATGGCCATGTAGTTTCCTTTTTTTTTTTTTTTTTTTTTTTTTTTTTTTTTTTTTTTTTGAGTTTTTAATTATATTGAGATGTTTAACAGCCCTGAGTTCCCTGGGAATGGCCTCACTAGCCTGTGCTTACATAGTTTGTTTGCAGTTCCTTGACTGTGTTTTGTGATCTTTCTTGAATTTTCTTCATTATATCTGGTGTCTTAAAATGCATGAATTTTCACATGGCAAGGAAACATCAATATAAAAAAACTAGATCTGTTTCATTAGAAAAGAAAAATATGTACCTTCTTTTTTGGGGGAACTGGGGATGGGGTGAATTATACTTTGAGAGTTGTTTTAGTTTGGTTTTCATATTTCTGTGGTAAAGGACCAAAAGCCATTATTGAGAGAAGCCTAGGCAAGAACTTAAGGCAGGAACCTGGAGTCGGGAACAGAAGCAAATCCATGAAAGAATAATGCGTCTTGTTCCCCATGGATTGCTCAGTGTGCCTTTTAAAAATACAACTCAGGTCGACGGTCCACTTGCCTAAGGGTGGCATCACCCACATTGGGCTGGGCCCTCCCACATCAGTCACTAATTAAGAAAATGACCATAGACTTGCCCACAGGCCACTCTTACAGAGGCATTTTCTTAATTGAGGTTCCCTTTTGTCAAAATGACCTGAGCTGTGTCAAGCTGACAAAAAAACTAACCAGCACATGAAATAATTTTTAGGAGTCAATAATCTTTGGTTCCAAACAGTTGGGGTTAGGGAAACTGAAGGCAAATTACACAGGTTAAGTTCTTCATGGGACAACTGAAGCTTCATAGCTATAGGCCAAGGGGCTCTTTTCTCTTCTTCCTACATGGCTTCAGCATTTCTGTCTGGTGTTGAGAATGGAAAGATATGCAGTCTTTTGTTTGACTCTTATGTTTGCTGGGCTCTGCTATGGGCCAGGTATGAGAGGATACCTAGAGGAGACTTGTGAGGAAAGTCGAGCTTGCTCTTCAGTGGAAAACAATTAGAAAACCCCAACGGCTTGTGCTCCTTGCAGTATTTAAGATTGACGAAAAGACCTTCTTAGGTGGAAGCATCAGAGAAGACCCAAAGGCAAGGAGACCCTAGTTCAGTGGCTCTCAACCTTCCTAATACTGTAACTCGTGAACTGTAGTTCCTCATGTTGTAGTGACTCCCCCAACCATAAAACTATTTTTGTTGGCACTTCATAACTGTAAATTTGATAGTTATGAATCATAATTTAAATATCCATTTTTTTCTAGTGGTCTAAGGCAACCTCTGTGAAGGGTTATTCCACCTCTAGGTCCCCCCCTCCCCATGATAAAAAGGTGGAAATTTGTAGGAATGGTGGAAAGCCAGTGCTTTTGAACAGTGGCTCAGCAGTTAAGAGCATTAGCTCCTCTTCCTCAGTACTGGGTTTTAATTCCCAGCACCATTATAGTACTTCAGAACCATCAGTAACTCCAGTTCCATGAGATTTGATGCCCTCTTCTGTTCTCCATGGACAAACACATGGCATGGAAGTGGTACACATATATTCAGGCAAAACACCCAGATACTTAAAAATATATTTTTAAAAAGATGGGGTGAGGGTACAGAATAGAAGGGCTGTCACTTTGCAGGGAAATGAGCTACAGTTTTTAAGTCATTCAAGCCTACTTGGTGGAGGCTAAAGGAGCTAGTGTCCTGGATGTGTTTAGTCACAGTGGATTAGGAAACAAGACAGGGTTGTCATTTGGGTAGATTATCTCCTAAGAAGTTGTCCTGGTAGAAAATCCTTTACGGAGCTGTAAAAGGAAAGGTATAAATGACTGGATGGTAGGAAAGTGGCGGGTTTTGTGAATAAATAGGGCAGCTGCTGACCATCTTGGAGTCACCAGCTCACACATGATACTGTGTAGTGGCAGCTTTATGATGCCACCCAGGAAGATAGATCCCAAGCTAGGGACAAGAAGAGAAGAGAGATGGCAAAGGAAAAGGTAGGGGAGTAATTCATCTCTTAAGAAGGGATATGTGGACCATGGATTTTGTGTCAGCAAACTTTTTTTTTTAAGATTTTATTATGTATACAGTCTTATTCTGCATGTGCTCTATAGGCCAGCAGAGGGCACCAGACTCACTCAAGGTGGCTGTGAGCTGCCATGTGGGTGTTGGGAATTGAACTCAGGACCTCTAGAAGAACAGCCAGTGCTCTTAACCACTTGAGCCATCTCTCCAGCCCTTATCAGCAAACTTTTAAGAGAAGGGCCAAAGAACATCAGAACATGAAAGCCAACCTGAGAAGGTTCATCCTCTACTAATGGAAATATGTTTGGAGACCTTGGAATCACCTCTCCATGACTCCCCAGTGCTTTGGTGCTAGGAGCTCCAAAGTGTTAGAGACTAGAGACCCTAGTAAAAATGTAAGTAGAGTTCATTCTTGAGGATATAGCTAAGAGTAAATAAGCATGTTCTTAAATTTTCAGGTATATCTCATTGTAGCTCTGCCTCTGGTCTTCTCTCCCACCCCCCCCACCCCCCCAAGACAGGGTTTCTTTATATTGCTTTGGAAGTTGTCCTGGAACTTGCCCTGTAGACCAGACTGGCCTCTAACTCACAGGGATCCACCGGCTTCCTGAGTGCTGGGATTAAAGGCATGATCCACCAACACTTACTTTTTTTGTTGCTGTTGTTTTGCTTTTATGTGCATTGGTGTTTGTTTTGCCTGTAGAAGGGTTTTGGGTCCTTGGAACTGTAGTTACAGATAGTGTGAGCTGCCATGTGGGTGCTGGGAATTGACCCTGGGTGTTCTGGAAGAGCAGCTGTTATTGTTTTGTTTAAAAAGAAGAAAAGAGAAATTGCTGAGACATGAGACTTAAG